GCGGTTCAATGGCTCGTCGAGGTTAGATTTTCAAACCAGTTATGAAGAAATTAGTTATAATACTCATTGAAAAGGATATATGGTATGATGTTTCATGAAATGTGCATGAACATCTTCTGCAGTCTCGGATCAGATTGAATCTATCATTCGGAACTGTGTTTTCCGCTGCGAATTGCCTTGACCGGTTCATCTCTGTCAGTAGCTGCAATGTAAGTGTAAAGACACATAATCGTGTGTGTGTATATATATATATATAGTTTCTGATGGGTTCGATAACTATAATGTATTTTTGGACAGCAGGAGTGGAAGTACTGGATGGTGGAGTTGCTCTCCGTGGCATGTTTATCAACAGCGTCTAAATTCAATGAAGTTTCTTGCCCTACACTGCAAGAAATCCAGGTGTTGATGCATGTTTCTTCATCTAAATCTAACGTTATTGATTTCTTGAACTATAAGATATATTAACTGTTTCATTACATTGATCCAAGATGGAAGGCTTAGATCACAATTTCCGCAACGGCACGATCCTTCAGATGGAGATGATACTACTAAACGCTCTTGAATGGCATGTCGGCACCATCACAGCCCATTCTTTCTCCTTGATGATCATATCCGATATCGAATTCTCGAACCATTTTCTGGGCGATGAGATAAAAACCCGAGTCGCGGGTCATCTGCTCGAAGATTTATCAGGTAAAAAGTGATGGTGTTTAGGTCCCTGCTTTGATATAACTTTCTTGTGAAGGACGAATGATATCAAAGGTTGATTTGGACCGACCGAGCCTGGATCAATTGAATGGTGCAGATTTTAAGATGCAAGAGTACCCTCCAAGCGTTGTTGGCTTGTCCGCCGTATGGAATGTTCTAGAAGAACTTTCTCTGTTGCCGTACTCTCCATCAGTAGTTGAGAGTCTTGAACGGATCATGAATCTCTTTGGTGAAGAACGTAAGGTAACTAAAAATGACTACACCGTATATTGAAACCAACTGTTTTGCATCACTATAGAGCCTTTCATTTTAAATCTTCAACACTGACGTTATACATATATACGTGTATATATATATATATATACACGTGTGGTGTATATGCAGGAGAAGGTTACAAAATGCATAACAAAGGTGAAATCTCGGCAGATGGAGCAGTCGTTGTCCGGAAATAGAACAGCTTCTGGTCTTGAAAGCCCAGTAACTGTGTTGCCGAGGGATCAAAAGAACATTGATGGGGCTATATCAGATGGCCTTTTTGTAGATCTCTCGATGTTTCAGTATGAAAGTGGGTGGAAGAAAAAGAGAGACAGAGAGTGTTACGAAAGCGGAACATGTCCGATCGAGAAAAAACGGTAATATAATTACCAAACCGGTGTCTATAAGATGATTGGTATCTATCTCCAGTTACTTGTGATTGTTGTTGTTGGCAAAGTTTCAAGTACATATAGTGAACATGTACGTACGCAATTACGTACGTTAATCCACGATGAATGACACTACGTCTTATTTTGTTTGTATTGTACGTCTATTTTTCATAGATATTATTACATGGCAGGTCTGACGAAGCTCTATCCACCCTCGGGGAATCAACGTGTTGAAATGCGATTTGAAGTGTGCATATGTAATAGAATCGAAAATCGTTTGTTGTTTGCTTAGATTTGAAGTTATACGAAGCAAGCAAATACATTATAAAATTCAAGATTCCTATCTAACAGATGCATCAACCTCCCCACATTCTCAATAGCTCAGAGACATTCTAGGCTCCCACAACTCTTTTAGTTGCCCACGTCGACATCTCTCCCTCTCTTTCTCTCTCTCTCTCTCTCTCTATATATATATATATATATATTGATATATATATAGATAGATAGATAGATAGATATAGTGTTAAGTGAAGAAATCCTCGTTATGAAGCAATGCATATATGTCGTTTGTTTTTCCAAAGGAGGAGTAGCTAGGAAAAGATTCAGGAAAGATAAAGAGGCCTGAAAGTATATGTACTGTGAGATTATGACAACAGAAGAGAAGGTGGCAAGTGGGTGGGGGATTTCGATAATATATACATTTATTTACGATTTCAATATACTATTGGGGTGCTTATTTTTATTGCACGGACTAATGGCACATTTTGAATTTCGTAATTTCTAATAATTAGCCCGTTTATTCGTTTCTTGACGAGGAAGGCTATGCGTACTATAGGAGTCTACGACATAAACCCTGAATCTTTTTTTTTTTTGCTTTTAATCTAGAAAACATTATAGCATGAATATTTTCTTTTCTCTTTTCCTTTTGTGATTGCATAACTTTAAAAATTAAAAAGAAAAAAAAATGAATCTTTATGGGGAAGGCTCGCAATTGTCTCTCTCATAATCCCCACTCGTCCAAAATCCAGTTTAAAAAGGTGTTGGGCAGTTCTCTAAGACCAATCCACTTCTGCAGCGCAGTTCTTGGAACTCGTTCTCCACTTCTTCTCAGCATATCCTCCACATTCCAAGATATCCTCCGACGACTTTTCATTCCAAAATCTCTAAATTCACAAGCCTACAGACAATTCAAAGATCCAACAATGGCGGACTCTGCAACTGTCTCTGTCCTCCTCCTCCTTCTGTATCTATCCGCCTCCATTGGTAACTATTCTTCTTCTTTCTCTCAAATGGGTTTCCCTTAACTTCCACGATTTCTCATGGAAATTCTCTGAAATGGGTTTTTCTTTTCTTCCTGTATTATTGTATGGTCGGTTGCAGATGGTGCTCAGCTCATACTGGTAAACAACTGCAGAGAGAGCATATGGCCGGGGATTCTCGGCACCGCCGGACAAGTGACTCCCAGAGACGGAGGTTTCCACATGGGAAGCGGCGAAGAAGCCATCATAGACGTGCCAGAGAAATGGTCCGGCAGGATTTGGGGCCGACAAGGTTGTGTCTTTAACCAGAACGGCAAAGGCTCTTGCCAAACCGGCGACTGCTCAGGGTTACTTCACTGCCACGGCACTGGCGGTGAACCTCCTGCAACTGTAGTTGAAATGACCCTTGGATCATCCTCTTCGCCATTACACTACTACGATGTCAGCCTCGTCGATGGATTCAACCTTCCTGTCTCGATGAAACCGGTCGGAGGCGGGGTCGGATGCGGAGTGGCATCATGCGAGGTCGATCTGAACATTTGTTGTCCTTCTGCTTTGGAAGTGAAGAGAGATGGGAAGGTTGTCGGCTGTAAAAGCGCGTGTCTTGCAATGCGATCCGCTAAATATTGTTGCACTGGTGAATATGCGAACCCTAAGACTTGCAAGCCAACCCTCTTCGCTAATCTGTTTAAAGCCATCTGCCCTAAGGCCTACAGCTATGCCTTTGATGATTCGAGTAGTCTCAACAAATGTAGGGCTTCACGTTATGTGATCACTTTCTGTCCTCCAAAATGATGGGAACTAAGTGTTCAGAGTTTCTTTTGATGTGTTATGTAATGGCTTTGTTCGGTTTGGTCCCGTTTTCGAGCTTATTTAATTGTCTTTTTTCGGATTCTTCGTTGAAGATTAGCGATAAAGATTGTTATTTAAGATCCTTACGAAAAGTAAATTAGCTTAGTGCATATAGAGAAAACTTGCATTTGAAGAAAACGATAGTCACGATTCAGTCCTGATGGGGCCCCACCCTATCCAGACAAAACATCGAGAACCTAACTGAGTTCAGATCAAACAAGCGTCATCCTCATGACTCAGCCGTTAGATTCTGAAGCTTATGAACCATTCCCCCACACATTCTAAACGTAAACGAAGAATCTTCACTCTCCGATTTCTCCCGTACCAAAACCCTAGATTTTCTCCCCTTTTTCTTGTTTTTCCGACGGAGATGGCGGCGGCGAATTCGTTGCCGCAATCGACGGGAATTCCTATGCGACCGAGGAATGGGATTTTCAAGAAGAGAGAATCTTCCGCCGTGGTCTTCGCCGTTGGAGATGTCTCCTCAGACGGAACCACCTACTTGATCGCCGGCTCCGCCGCCATCGCAATTCTGGGCACGGCTTTTCCGATCATCTGCTAGCGCTCCGACACGTAACCACTTTTCTCATTGTTATATCTACCTACTTTGATCTCATCCGGTTAACATCTATTCTCCTCCCGGTTTGGTTTGATCCGGTTTAACGCTCATTTTACCGAATCTGCGTACTTACCGGACAAAATACTGTTCAGAAAACCATCCAAAACCAAATTAAACCCCCGGTTTGGTTACCGTGTTCTGCACAAACTGATAGATATCAATTGAAATAAACCGGGTGAAATTCGGCATTGGTCAAATATTTTTCTTCTTGTAAGTGAAACATAAGCAGTCTGTAACAAATGTGTCACAAAGATTATGATAATATTACGCGATAGTTAGAGCATATATCAAATCTAAATAAATATTACGAATATACATGATCTTCGACCATTAACCATGTGTTTGGAATGTGATGGAGCGGGATTCGTGAGAAAGTCGGGATCGACATTCAGGGCGAACGCGGCGAGAAAGGATCAGGCTAAGATCGTCTGTGCTAGGAGTGTCAAACGAGTCCGTTCGGATCGTTTTGGGCTCAACTCGTTAGGTTCGTTTTCTAACGAGACAGAAAAATCTCGGCTCAAATCGCTCGCCAATTTTTCGATCTGAACGAGCCATATCGTTGAGTCAATGATATATAATATTTTTTATTTATATTCATTCCAAATTTAACTATAAATTTAAATAAATACATACAAATTAATAAAACTTCATTATCATAAACTATATAAAAAAAGTATTGGTTGAAATTTCAAAAAATAAAAAAATAATCTAATAATAGCTCAATAAAAAATAATTTAAATAGATGATAACAACAAAATATATTTTAATAACATTTTCATATTTATATTTTAATTTTTATTTAATTTTTACAATTATCACCATCATAATAATTAGGATATTTATAATATCGAGTTGAGCAGTTCGCTAACCAGACTCATTGAACACGTGTGTCAACTGTAATGGTCTTGGGAAACTCGACCAGATTGACAAATGGCTATTTACTTTTTATCATAATTCTAATCTCTATAAAACATATCAATCTTCTTGGATATAATATATTTTCCTAATCGTTGGTTGTGATTCCATTTACAATATACATACATATATAGCAGTTAATTTGTTGGTCTAATCCGGTTTGTTAATTTATATACCGAGACCGGATCGGGATTTAGACCAACCCAACTCTTTCCGAGCACAGATCCGGTTCAAGGACTTGAGATTGGCAAAACCTGAATGGGGTTTACTGCAGTAAATTCATGCATTCTTATGGCATATTCCTTATAAACTGATAAAAAAAAAACCGGAAAGTTGCTTTTGAGTTGTGAATATGCAATGGTCATATTGATTTAAAGACAGATTTGGGAAATGGACCCCTACCCATATGGTCATATGTCCTAAACCATCTTGACATCAACATGTGCGACCATACTGCATATCATATGATTTTTGCACATAAGCTAAAAGCAAAGTTATTCCATGTGAAAGTCACATCGACTAGTCATATCTATCAGTATCACCCGTTTAATTTCGAATTATAATAACATATTCCATAAAAAGAATCCAAAAACAAACAATGTCTCTATCAAGTGTATAACTAATCCGGGATACATACAAAGTGTGTAGTGTTTTAACATGTGGAGACATTAATTGCACATGATCCTAAATTCAAAAGTAACATCTTTTCACATATCGGTTTACAATGGCCGTACACGTGAAAAACATATGCCTTGATTTTTACAGCTTAAGAACGGACACGTGGTATAACTACGCAAGCAGCCGACAAGTCAACGAGGTTTGACCATGTTCATATCTAATGCAAATCTCTCTCTCTCTTTTTTTTATTGTGTGAAAAAAAAGGAAAGCTTGAAAATTTAAATAAAACAAAGAAACAGAAATCAATAATTAAAACAAACAAATCAAGAGATTTCATTTCTTCTCCGGATTCTGTTGGATGAACTTGCACCAAACTAAACAGCACTCTTCTTCTGCTTCCTCACTGACACAAACTGATCTCTGTTTTTTTTTTTTGGTGTCACGAACTCAGTTTTGGCCATAAGATTCTGTCTTTAGAAACTCTGTTTCAGTCTCTCATGTTCTCAAGATCTCATCTTTTGTTTCCTCTTCTTCTTCTTCTTCTTCTCCTTGTCGTCTGTAACCGAACATGCTTCTCTTCATCCACGCGATCTCTGGTTTTACCTCTCAAGACCCGAATAGCCCCACCCGGATCGGTGACCCGACCCGC